TAACCAGCAGCCTCTGAAGCTCCACGACCCCCCCCCCACACACACACACACACACACACACACACACACACACACACACACACACACACACACACCTTTGCGTGTGGCAAAGTCATTTTTACACGCCACTACTTATTTAGACAGTTTTCTCACTCATTCTACATTTAATATACATTTTTTCCTGCATTTAAAAATCATTTCTGATCCCACAGAGAGGACAATCTGAGGAGAATCTCACACACTGGACACATTTACATCTATTTTACAGATTTAAATGGAGGCGTGTCAGAGGAGGTGTCTCAGGTGCGCTCAGTTCCACGTTCATTGGATCTATAAAGGAAAGGTGCGCAGGAACATGCGTGCGCATGGTTTTATACATCTGATTTATTTTGTGTGGCTCACTAAATTTATCAGTACGTCAACTTTTAGTGTGAAAGCTGCGCAATCCTTTATGAATGAGGCCCCTGGTGATGTCATGAGTTCAAGACTTCAGGCAGTCATTGTCAACAAAGGCTTTTCAACCAAGTATTAGAAAAGAACATTTTATTTACATTTATTTCATTTGTCCAATTACTTCTGAGCCCCTGAAATGAAGGAATTGTGTTTAAAAATGCTTTAGTTTCTCACATTTCTATGCAGTCATTTTGTTCAAGCCACTGAATTAAAGCTGAAAGGCTGAACTTCAACTGTATCTGAAATTTGTTCAAAATTCATTGTGGTAATGTACAGAACCAAAATTAGGAAAATACTGTCTCTGTCCAAATGCATATGGACCAAAATATACATATAACAGCCGCCGATAAAGTCATTGATGATTTCTTTGTTCTTAGTGCTTTTATTCAGATCTACAGCTAATAATGGCTGTGCCATCAGAAACCTTCTGGATATAGTTGCTGCCTGTGTTGTGTTTGAAGTCTGAGGTACACAGGGTGAAGAGGAAGGGGTAGAGAACTGCTCCCTAAGGTGCTGCTGACTGTCACATCAGACACACATTTATTAAGTCTCACATACTTTTTATCTCTTTGTGAGGTAGTTGATGGTTTATAAAGTCCGGTGACTGTCTACTCTAGATGTTTCCAGCTTGACCCTCAGCAGTGAAGGTTGAATGCACTGGAAAAGTCAAAAATCTGACCCTTACAGTGCTTCTAGGGTGTTCCAGGTGGGAGGTGGGTTTGTACAGTTGAAATATGATTGCACCCTGGTTCTAAGACTGCAAAAAGGTGACATCAGTCAACAAATATGTAATCAACAAAAAATGTACTTTGTTTGTTCAGGTAATGTTTATGAAGAAATCTGAATTATTTCTGAACTATACTGCAGTAAAAAAAGTTTTTCTGCTTGGCCTTCAGAGGAGTCGGACGTTTTTTTTCTCTCTCTCCCGAACCTGTGCCTTTTTCCCTGCTTTGCAGCTGTGTTTAGCCTTTCTTCTACCTATCATCCGAAAACAAAAGGAATTATGGATCTGGTCAACTGGTCTTTGAACACAATCRACACTATTTTTTCCACACTGAGATTGGAGCGTGGGGAGTGTAGCTGTCCCAGTGGAATGGTGGCGGCTGGGCATGTGTCTGGGTCTTGGGGGTGGAACCTCATCTGTTTGGCGCCGCTTTCGATCGAAGACGCGGATTTGTTCATATTTGGATTTATGACAACTGGATTCCTGCTGATCAGCTGTGGAGGAGTCCTGGCTTATCGGAAAATGAAAGCGATACTGACAGCAGTCCAGCCTGTGAGAAGCTGTCAGCAACCTTGGATGGAGTCTCCCGTACTGGGAATGCACATACTCAAATGTTGGGGGATATAAGTTGTAAACTGGATGTGATTCTGACTAGAATTGCAGCTCAGCGGCGTGCCCATGTAAGATTACATCTGGGTGAAGTTTCAGATGGAGAGGCGAGGAGGTACTGGAATTGGGAACATAGGCTTTTTTTTTTTTTTTCGCAAACACAGAGTTGCAGTTCAGACTCAAAGCAGAGAAAACCAGGCTGCTTGTCCCAAACAATTATGTTTATCATTGGATCCCTGCAGCTGCTGAACTTGGGTCACAAACTATCAAACCTCCCTTGATGACACATGAGGAAAAAGCGTTGACTCCCTCCCCCATCCCTACCCACTTAACCCATGGGTTTATCAGTTTGAAGGCCAYGATGGGTGGAGACAGAGAACTGACTCTGGTGATTTGTGCTTTGGTGGATAACAACTTGTTTGGACTCTGGAGGTCTTTGATTGGTTCCAACACAGAGTACTAACCTGGATGTCACCGGCTCCGCTGAACCCCACCCCATACTATGTGTTTGTCCCCCCACCCCCTCCCCTCCTTCGCTGCCTTGCTCTATGCAGAATGTTTTTTTGAGCGCATGGTCCTGTTTCTGTGTAAAACATAGGATCAAATCTCTTTTTTTAACTCACCTTTCCTAGTGTGTGTGTTTTAAGCTGCAAAAGGTAGCGCACCTTAGTGCAAAAGACCGTGGACATTCGTTCTCCCATGTTTGTTATGTGTGTCTTCTCCGAACAGATGTTCTAAACTGCAAGTTCCTAGTCTGTGTTTATCACTGACAATGGCAATAAAGCTCTTTCTGATTCTGATTCTGAAATTAAAGCAGAATTTGCTCAAGAGGAATATAAAAACTGAGACCTCAAATTGTTGTCAGAAAATATCTTGTTCATACAAGATCGCACAGCCCCCAACACACACAGCAGTAACATATCCAACAATGGAAAGCTGTGCTCCGAGATATTTAGGGTGTCTGAGTTCATAAAGTTTGTTGCAAGGGGCTTATCAGCTGTTGGGATTTGTGTATATGTGGGGGGCAAGGTAGTTGTAATAACAACCCTCAGACATCACTTCAGTACTGTTCCTAAGGCTGAGTGTTGCTCACAGAAACACTGTTTCTTTACTAAAGCTACAAGTCCAGAGAAGATCTTTACTTTTTCACTTTCAACCTGCTGTCTCTGACTCCAATGTTATCTCTCTGTTCACATGTGGGGGTTATGTTACAGACTTGATATCTGCAGCACTAAAACTGTCCAAACTACACTCCTCAATGTTCCAATGCAAACAAACCAGTAGTGATTGTTGGTAACAAAACATGATTCTGATCATTTTTACTCATTTATTACAAATTAGGCAGAAGACTTTGGTTGTGAATGATAGTGCAGTGTTTTTAGATGATATTCCAATTAAAAACATTAAAAAATGGCACATTTTGACAGCTGTTATGGTTTTTATATTTGAAACAACTCAAAACCCTGAAACTGTGAGATCTGAAGATCTCAATTTAACAATTTACATTGTAGGGGAGACCGGGGACTGTTGCAACAAGGGACGGTTGCAACATACCATTTTTCTCCAAACAGAAACAAGCTAGAGTGATGACCCTCACACTGTACATGCTCAGTTAGATGTCTCACCTTGCAAAGAAAAGGTAAGCAGATTCAAAAACTGATCCAGGATTTATTTAAAAAAATATTTTTGAGGAACAAAGTATTTTTTTGTCCAGTTTTATTTTTGTTAAACTGTTGTCACTGTTTTTGTGATCCAGCTCAAACTT